CGTTTGACCGGCGCGCGGATGGAGGAAGTTGCGGGGTGCAGGGCCGCGGCGGGAGTCAAGTTGCTGCAGCAGCGTGCGCGTCCTGCGCTCCCGTCAGAAACAAAATCGTTTGACCGCCGGCGTGCCTGCAGGAGCGGCGCCAGTGCAGAATCTAGGCTGCCGGCCTTGTTGACGGCCGAGAAGTGCAGGTTGGTGCGCTCAAAGGTGGTCACCCAGCTGCGCACGCCGGCGGGGATGGTGCCCAGGCGCAGCTGCTGCTGGATGTCCTGTGTTGGCCGGGTTGTTGATGCAGACAACTTGTTCAGCTGAAGGTTTGTTTCATGCGTGGGTGTGCTGAAAGCAAAGGCAGGGCCCCCATTCACAGGAGGAGGTCAATGCAGGGCAGTAAGAGGACAGGCGCGAGCGGGGCATGGCGGCTGTGCTGCAGCCGGCGCTGCCCTGCAGGCCAGCCTCATTGCGGCACCCGGGCCACGGCTGCCCGCCTGCACGCCCTTCCACCGGCCCTTCCGCCCGCCCGCCCGCCCGCGCGCCGCCCGCTCGCCTGCCGCACGCGCTGCGTGGCCGTGGCGGTCAGCGCCATGATGGGGACGCCAGGCAGCGTGTCCCTCAGCGTCGACAGCTGGCGGAACGCCGGGCGGAAGTCGTGGCCGTACTCGGAGATGCTGGGCAGATGGGGATGGTGGGCGCATGGGGATGGTGGGCGGATGAGAACATGATGCGATCACGAGGCCTGTTGTTGAGCTTGAGTGCGTCGTGTGGGGCAGCAGGCCCTGGCCAGTGGATAGCTGAGCGGGCGCGCCAGAGGCACGGCGCAAAGGGCGGCGAGTTGGAAAGCGCGTGTAGTGAGGCATTGGCGTGCTGCGCGCACCAGTGGGCCTCGTCAACCGCGATGAGCCCAATGCCCTGCGGGGTTGCCGGTGGTATGATGTATATGTTTGAAGAGTATAGAAACGTAGGGTCGGGCATGTAGGGTGAGCAGCGCTTCGTCTTGTGCTGTGCCTGCACCGTCCCCGAGCGCTCAGCCTGGCGCGCGGCCCACCCCGCAGTTCGGGCGCCTCGCATCCGCCGCGCGCGCTTTGCCGTTCGCTGTGCCTGCACCAGCTGGGAGCGCACAGGTAGCCCGGCACGCGACCGTCCGGGGGCCCCGCATCAGCCCCCGCGCGCGCCCCCGGCCTGCCCCCAAGCAGCCGCCGCGCGCAATCGCAGGCCGCAGGCGCCGGGCACGGCTGCGTCACACCTTGGCGGCGTGCAGGCTCCTGAGGGATTCCGGGCTGCTGGTCACCAGCTCAGGCGTCACGTACACCAGAGCGTACTCGCCCGCCCAGGCGTGCCGCTTGATCTGCGGCCGGGACGCGCGGCCAGAGGGTGAGCGCGGCCGCGCCCCGCCGCTGCCGGCCTGCGTCGGCGGCGGCTGGGAGGACGCGGGCGCACGGCCCGCCGACCGGCCCATATCGAGCAGCCTCACGGGCATATGGCACGCCCACACAACATGGCCGCTGCCGTCGCTATCCCCATGAGATCGTCGTCAGCTAGTCGCCGGGCCGCCATCACGCCAGTGTCAGGCCGCCCCCACCTCCTGGTTGGTCTGGGCGCTGCCGAGGAATGCTGCGGGCACGCCGCGCGCGTTGAGCGCCTCCACCTGGTCGTGCATCAGGCTGATCAGGGGGCTGACGACAAGGACGGTGCGGCCCATCGCCAGGGCGGGGACCTGAAGGGGTCAAGGGGGCGGTTCGGGGAGGGAGGAGTGGGGGAGAGGCGCCGGGCTCGTCGTGCAGCGGGTGGCGGGGTTTAGGGCCAGCTACTCATCGAGACAGTAGTATGATTGCAATTGCCTCCACGAACTGGCCCTCCAAGGATGACAAATCGCAGCGTGCACCGTCTTGAATCGATGGTAGGAGGGGCCATTTGCTGACGGCACCCCCAGCGCCCGCCCACCTGGTAGCACAGGCTCTTGCCGCCGCCCGTGGCCATGACTACGAGGGTGTCGCGCCCCTCCATGGCGGCGCGGATGACCTCCAGCTGGGGCGGCCGGAAGGCGCGGTACCCCCAGTACTGCTGCAGCAGCGACAGCAGGCGTTCGTCGTCGGCCTTGGGGTGGCGGTTGGGGGCATGACGGGTTGACGCTCAGAGCTGCTAGGGAGATGGGCTGCGGCGGGGTGGATTCGCGGCAGCGCGGCGCTTGCTGCGCGCCTGCTTGCGTTGTAGTGCCATGATGGCGACTGCCTTGATTGGTGACAGCATTGGTGCACGCCTCGCATGCATCAGACAGCACGTGCGCACCTCCGGCACTGCCTGCACCGTGGGTGCCGCTGCTTGCGCCCCGAATGCTGCCATGCTGGGCGCCGTGCGCGTCAAGTAGCGCTCCATGACCTTGACAGCCGAGTCCCTTCGCGACCTCGTGAGTGATGGCACCACTGGGTTGACGACGCAGATCAAGCGCGCAGATTGAAAAACTGCAGCTGGCGATCTGCAAGCCAGCCTCATCCCGGAACCATACAAAATCAAAAATGTCTTACAGGCAGCGACCTGAATGGTCGTGGCGCCAGCTGCAAGCTTTGATTGAGAAAGCGCACACCCGCTTCCCCGTCCCAGCGGCGCTGCATGAGGATCAAGTGTCATTTATACGCACCTGCTGCCGGTACATGTCGCGCCATTCAAGGTCCATGTCCTGTATCAGGCACTGCTTGTTCTATCCTGCCAGGCAAGCCGTGCTCAGCAGGCCACATGGCAGGTTGCCATAGTGATGTACGGTGCCGCACTCTCCCTAGGGGCTCCCTGAGGCAGCCCAAGGGAGAACGGGGCACATCAGGAGGTCTCCGGGGTCAGGGGTAAACTAGGCTAAATCAAAAGCAAGGGTGTGCCAGGTGACGACGTTGAGGTAGCAAGGGGGTGGCGTTTGTTGGTGGTGCAGAACGGTGAGGTCCTGGTCGCATTTTGGCGAGTGGCACACATACATCATGATCAGGCACGCAACTTTCACTTTGCCTGAGTTCCTTCAGGATTTCCTGCGGCAAAAAGGCGACACGACATGCCCATGGAATGTCCTGGGCTTTCTTGGTCAAAAGCTTTGACGTGGTCAAACGGGCGACAGCAGGGGTCGCATATTGTCTGACATGCTTGTCCCCACCACTGCCACAAGCTTGTCAAAATGCTGTCATTATTCTTGCCGCCCTGCGAACATCGGCAGCAACAGATCATCGTCCATGCAAGGATGGCGCACCTGACAGCGCCCTGCGAAAACATTTCTCAAAATTTACAGTCCAGCCCCGACAAGCCTACCAACGTCGCTCCATTAATCAAATGGTTCTAGATAGCCCTGCATTTTCAGTGGGCGATCATTGGCAGGGTCGCTGCGAGCAGGCTCCGTGCTCACAGTCTCGGACCAATTGAGGCACGCAGACCGCGTCCATTGTGTCGTTCATTTCCCAAGAAATGCTGAGGGCCCGCTATCAGGCCTTGACTCTGAACACTGCGTTCGTTGTTCCGCTGCGGCGCCCGGAGCACCGTCCGACCTGCGCTGTCGCGCTGCGGCGCCTTCGCGGCTGCACCCCTGCTGCCGCCGGGCAGGGTTCGCCAGGCCTTTGGGACGTTATCGAATACTTTGAGCCACCGCCAAAGCAGGGCTCAGCTGCTGGCATCTCCGCGGCAGGGGCGGAGCAGAGGGTGCGACTGGGCCTGGTGGCCGACACGACCCAGGGCGGCGCACTGCTGGTGGAACCTCTGGTCGTGGCGGAGCAGCAGGACGGCCAGGAGGGCGTGTGGTGGACGCATGACGAGTCCGCAGTGCTGGATGGCCCGCAGGCAGTGGGGCCGGAGCTGGTGCTGAGGGTGGTGGACGCAGATTACTCGCAGGTGTGGGCCCGCCCTGCGCCTGTGATGGGTGGTACGTGAACAATGCTCACCCACCCAGCGCGGCCTGCTTGCTGCATCGCTGGCTGCGTTGGGGCCGTCGTGCGAGTATCAGTGCGGGCCGACGGCACCACTATCGACATCAATAAGCGGGCCGGCAAACCGCGGACGATGGCAGGCTGTAGCGGGGCGGTACGCTCAACTGGTCACACCGCAGAGCAGCCTGCAGCGGCTCCTGACCCGTCCGAGAATATTTCCTCACACCTGCCACCTTTTCTGGTGCCCACAACCCCCTGCACGCAGCGCCAAGACAAGGTCGGGCCCGGTAACCCCCACGGCGAGCACGCGCACGATGTGTTTTTGCCCTTGGTGCCGCTTTCGCCTGGCATATTCACTGGGCTGGGGTTGTAGGCCTGCGCCGCACAGGCATGTTGATTTGAATTCGATTCGCTGCGCCGCGACACAGCGCAGCTTTGGCCCTGCTGCAGTTTGCGCTTGGTAAGTCCGCAGCTGTTGCTGTCAGCCCGCCCGGTCACTTGAATCGGGACGGTTGACCTTCCTGCAGTCTGCACGGCTCGCTACAGGCCTAGATGTCTCTTGAAGCTATTTGTAACAGGTGAGGAAGCCTTTTGATGTCCTCCAGTCACCATACGACCCGCCGTTTGCAAGAAAGTGCACCAAAAGCGCAGTGGTGGCGGCAGTGGCGAATCGCGTGACAAAGCTGGCGGCGACCCACGCACGGGCCCCTCAGTCTCACAACGCCGATCGAGTTTCATATGCGTTGTGACAAGCCTTTTGACGCGATCTACGGTCGTCCTCGACAGGCCACGGGGTCACCGACGCACCCGTGCCGGTGTGGGCCCAACATCCTACACAGGGTCCATTTGGGGATCGCTTCCTTCACAATCATATCTTGGTATTATTGGCAGCCACATCGCAACCTGCATACTCCTCCTACACGCCTCTTTCGCGTACCTTGTTCCAGTCCGACCGCACCCAGCAGCACAGCCTTGCGCAGCTCGGTCGCGCAAGGACGCTTGTTAAAACTGCCAGGATCCTTGTGGCATTCCAGTAAAGGTGGGCAGCAGGTGCTTCACAGAAATACTTTGTCTGTCTGCGCGAAACCCCTCAGACGGCTCCTCTGGGGGCAACAGACAGCGCGTTAAAGTCGATGACATAGCTAGGGATTGATATCTATGGCCGCGAAGGCCCGGGAAGCGTTTTGCGCGCGTCGGCTCCGCCGCGCCTGACGCCACAGCGGGCGCCTCCAGACTCCGACCTGTGCTGACCTGGAACTGCGCCGCCTCACATTGCACCTGTGCCCACCTTGGCAGGGCTGTATCTGGTATACAGCACCCCTACAGCGCAGCCGCGACAGCAGCAGGCCGGCGCTTGCGGCGCTCGGCAGCAGCGAAGCTGGTGGTAGTGACGGCCTGCCTACGCACGCCGTACCTCGCACGCCCTACGGACAGCCCGGCGGCCAGCCTACAACCGCGCAGCGCGCCCAGCACGGCGCGCCCTCGGCCACTTCTCAGCCCCAAGGGCGTAGGCACGCTCCCCGCCAGCTAGCAGCAACATGCAGCGCGCCCACGAGGAGCCTGCGCGCGCGCCCGCGTCGTCTCTGGCGCCCGGCGCCGCCGCGGCGGCCCCCACGCGCGGCGGCGGCATCGACACAACCCGTGTCCTCAACCTCTTCGGCTTCGTCGGCCCCGTCGCGTCCCTCATGTCGCACTCGCTCTTCCCCCACGGCGCGCCGTCCCCCGGCGGCGGCGCGGCGCGCGGCGCGGCGCACATCCAGCGCGCTGCCGGCATCGGCGGCGGGGAGGGGCGGCTGAAGCACCTGGGCGGCGCCCTCTCCGGCAACACCACGCGGTTCGTGCTGTCCCATACAGAGGACGCCATTGATTCGGTCCTGCCCTGCGCCGCTGAGCGCATGTTCAAGCGGCCGGGCAAGTTTGCCAACGCCGACAACCTGCGCTTCAACTACGCGTCGTGAGCTGGGCGCTGCGCCTGCGCACGCAGCGCCCGTGCCACGCCCTCGGCTGGCGCCCTTCGGCCCCCACGTTGCCGCCTCGACCCCCGCCGCTTCGGATGTGCACAATGCGGGGACGGGTCGCCGGCCACGCAGCTTGGCGCAACCAGCAGTTGAGGCGGGCGGGCGCGGGCGGGCCAGTCCGGC